ATCTTCTTTGATGTTCTCAAGGCCAAGAAGAACCTCTATGTTAACATGCACTCCATCGACACCGACCATATGAAGAAGGATCCTGATTACTTTGGTGAAGCTCTTCAGATGTGCACTCAACTGAACATTCTTGGTGTCATGCAATTCAACAAAGTTTATGATGCTGATATTATGGCCCAATTCTATGCCATGGTTCATCTCGGGACTGATGAGGACAGGACACTGACTTGGATGACCAATGGCAAGTTGCTTTCAGTCAAGTGGAAGGCGTTCATGGAATTGATTGGGGTGGAAGATCAAGGGCTTGCGTCTCCTGTCGGATTTCGCCCACACCGCAACACCTCCGCCACTCACAAGCAAGCTCTATGGTCGTACTGCACCTTGAGGGTCAACCCTGAGACGAAGAAGGAAACATATGAGCTTCCTGCCTTTCTGGACATTCTTCACCGTGTCTTCCGTGAGACTCTTTTCCCTCGCATCGGGAGTTTGGATATGGTCCATTCTTATCTCGTGGACATGCTTCTCTTCTGCCAGCGTGAGAAGGAACAAAACACCGGAGAGTCCCTGGATATATCCCATGTTATGTGGTTTGAGCTGCTATCTGCTATCTCCGAGCGCAAGTGCCCGATTTATGGTCTGTTCATCATGCTGCTTATTGAGCAGGCCTGGGGTCATGTCTATCCCAAGGTGATGCTAGAGACCGGGGAGTTGGTTTCTCACGACGTCAAGCGTCTGAGGAAGAAGGACAACTGGGGCTCTCAGGTCCCTAAATCTGGAGTTCCTTCATCTGCCACTGCCATGGAGACCGAGGAGGAGGCTGAGGCTGAGGCTGAGGATGATGATGACTATGTGCCTTCTGCGGCAGAGCCCTCTTGGGCAAAGAAGCTCAAGCTCAAGATGAAGAAGTTGTTCTGCATGGAGGCTCACGGTCAGTACATGACTCATGTGGGTGAGAAGGAGGCCCGTCGTCGTCACAAGGAGCTCATGCGCTAGTTGGGTGCCACCGTTAACAGTGGATCTGAGGACCAGCTTACTGAGGAGGAGTGGATTCAGCACCACTGCCCGTGGACCGATTCTGATGTCGAGCACTTCCCGACCAACGATGGTGGCGCAGACGATCCCGCTGAGATCTGATTCTCTTGCTATCACCTGGAGCTGTAGCAACACTCCCTCTCCTTTTTGGTGTCTCGATGCCAAAGGGGGAGAGAGTTTAGGGATTTGTGTTGTGTTTTCCGTCGTTTGTGTTTTCTCGCGTTTGCCTGGTTTGGTTTGTGTCTGGTTTGTGTTAGTGAGACCTAAGTTCTAGTCATATGGTGTGAGACATATGCTACCTTATCTTTCGAATATCTTTATCTATGTCTATCTAGCTTATGAGTTGCATGCTTATCCTGTTATCTATGTTGCTCTCATATATCTTGCTTAGGTAGTTGGTCTCTAAAATGTAGGGGGAGCGTTGATCCTGGTATCTGTGTCGTGCAGTCCAAAGCACTTATCTAGACATCACACATCCAGGGGGAGCCCTTCTACATTTTAGGACGGTGAGGCTTTGCGCCGATCCTATATCTTTCATGTTTGTGCAAATCCCGTATTATCATCAATCCACCAAAAAGGGGGAGATTGTAAGGGCATATTTATCCCCAAGATGTTTTGGTGATTGATGACAATGCTTTTGCGGACTAATCGTGTGCGTTGAGTTCTTTCAGAGATTCATCCTTTGGCACGAGACGATTACTTCCCCTCGGTGTTTTATTCAAGAGGGTGTAGCTCCTTCGTTTCTATGCTGGTGGTCTAGTTTCGTAGGAGTCACCGTACTATCAAGAGGGGATTCGTTTTGGTAAGGCTAGGGTGGAATCAACACGTGCACATCCCTATCACACCCGATGCTTCTTTCCGCTTCATTGGAGCTATCTTTCCTTAATCTGTGCCTGCCTGTCCTGTCCCAGCGGTAGTACCGCGGTCTTCAGCGGTAGTACCACCGAAGCTCGTCAAGCGGTAGTACCGGTCCTCGAGCGGTAGTACCGCTTGTGAGCTTCGGCCGTAGTACCGCAGTGGTTCCGGGCTACTACCGCCTCGATTCTCGACTCTTGTTTTTCGTGTCGGGTTTTACGGTACTAGTAGCGGCAGTAGGGGCGGTAGTACCGCTCCAAGCGGTAGTACCACCTATTCTTCCGTGGTAGTACCGCTCTAAAGCCAGGACCCTGCTCCCCTCGTCAGCGCGGCAGTATCGCTGGGAGGGAGCGGTAGTACCGCTTATCAGCGGTAGTACCGCCCTGTCCAAGCGGTAGTACCGCTCTGTGCGTGGCTGGTTGGTGGGTAACGGTTGGATTGTTTCCCCCACTATATAAAGGTGTCTTCTTCCCCAAAGTTGACTTACCTCTTTCCCCCAAAGCTCCATTGTTGCTCCAAGCTCCATTTTCGCCCAATCTCTCTCCCTAGCCAATCAAACTTGTTGATTTGCTCGGGATTGGTTGAGAAGGCCCCGATCTACACTTCCACCAAGAGAAATTTGATTCCCCCCACTTATCCCTAGCGGATCTTGTTACTCTTGGGTGTTGAGCACCCTAGACGGTTGAGGTCACCTCGAAGCCATACTCCATTGTGATGAAGCTTCGTGGTGTTGTTGGGAGCCTCCAAGTGTTGTGGAGATAGCCCCAATCTTGTTTGTAAAGGTTCGGTCGCCGCCTTCAAGGGCACCAATAGTGGAATCACGGCATCTCGCATTGTGTGAGGGTGTGAGGAGATTACGGTGGCCCTAGTGGCTTCTTGGGGAGCATTGTGCCTCCACACCGCTTTAACGGAGACGTACTTCCCTTTAAAAGGAAGGACTTTGGTAACACATCCTCGTCTCCACCGGCTCCACTCTTGGTTATCTCGTGCCTTTACTTTTGCAAGCTTACTTGTGTTGTATCTATTGCTTGCTTGTGTGCTAGTTGTCTTTGCATCATATAGGTTGTCCACGTAGTTGCACATCTAGACAACCTATTTCGTTGCAAGGTTTAAATTGTTAAAGAAAAGTCTAAAAATTGTTAGTTGCCTATTCATCCCCCCTCTAGTCAACCATATTGATCCTTTCAGGTTCATATATGAAGATGTTGTTTACCTTCTCTTTGTCAAATCACATGGCTTGTTTTATCACTGCTATACTAGTCATGCTTTATCTAGTATTTCCGTTAATAAAATCATTCGGTAATTTGCTCATATTTCCAATAACTCATTTGTGGTATTCGAACAACAACAACAACGACGACGACGACAACAACAAAGCCTTTAGTCCCAAACAAGTTAGGGTAGGCTAGAGGTGAAACCCATAAGATCTCGTAACCAACTCATGGCTCTGACACATAGATAGCAAGCTTCCACGTACCCGTGTCCGTAGCTAGCTCTTTGGTGATACTCCAATCCTTCAGGTCTCTCTTAATAGACTCCTCCCATGTCAAATTCGGTCTACCCTGCCCTCTCTTGACATTCTCCGCATGCTTTAGACGTCCGCTATGCACTGGAGCTTCTGGAGACGATGTTGGACAAGCTTCTCTTCAATTGGTGCTACCCCAACTCTATCTCGTATATCATCATTCCGGACTCAATCCTTCCTCGTGTGGCCACACATCCATCTCAACATACGCATCTTCGTCACACCTAACTGTTGAACATGTCGCCTTTTGTGGTATTCAATTGTGTGAAATAGTACGAATAAACAGAACTATGATGCGCAATTCACGACCATTAACTCAATCATACTAATGACGCAAAACATAGCAATGCACTGCGAATCACCAGGCACCAACAGCACAACAAGCGAAACGCACCACGAAATTTCCAAATAACACGCGGATGAAATCGCAAGCACGCAGATGTGAATGGGATGAAAAGATGGGATGGAAGGACACAATTGCTTGGGATGTGGGAGATGAAGACACCAGTAGCAACTAGATATGCGCCGCGCGGTGATGGCGAGTGGGCCGCGGACCCCGGCGGTGCGGACCGCGGCGGAGACACGCTGGGCAACGCGGCAGACGTTGATGTTCTGGGGGATGTGGTAGTTCTCGAAGTCCCATCACACCAACACCTTCACCGCCTTGCCCTCCTCCTCGTGTTGCCACCGCCTGTCACCGCCATAGTGCGGGCTTCCTGCCGCGTCTGATGCCGAGCTGAGACGGCGGCGGTGGCTGTGTCCCTGGTAGAGGCGGAGGTGGGCACGAGGAAACCGGCGGAGGAGGAGGTGTGGCAGCATGGAATCGGCGCCGTCCCTCCCTCTCGGCCGGGGTGGGCTTTCGGTTCGTGGCAGCAGGGTTTTGTTTGCTTAAACCCTTTTTAACAGCGGTCGAAAAACGCCCACCGTCCGATGCGTTCGAAACGGCTTCGATCTGGCGGAATGGTCACACCGCCCAAACGCGCTTCTCTCAGGTGGCCCGGGATCCCCGCTTTACTCTGGGCCGGATCAACAACCCCTCGAAGCTCCCGGCCGCTCCGGCGACGGCCCGGCGGTCGCCTTCCTCCTCCCACTTCGACCAAGGTTAGCATCCCTCCTCTTCCACCTCGGTTTGCTTCTCCGTCTTCATGCCTTCATCGTGCCCCACACTCATGAGCTCGTTGCTCCAGATCCACGAACGCGGGCAACGGTTCCTCCTCTTCTTTTAGCTAATCGTCACATCACAGGCGAGCACAACCTCCTCCTTCTCTTCCTACCCCCTAGATCTTTCAGGCAAACCCTCTAATTTATTTTGGCTGGCAATGAACATTTGATAATTGCCCTTATTTGACAAGCCACTTCAAAATCATTATTTTTATTTGACAAGCCACTTCAAAATCATTATAATTTAATACCTTTTCATGTTCAAAATTTGTTGCCATACGCTAGTGATTTAGCTAGCGATTAAGCATGGTGTGTCAATATGGACAATATGAGTTTGATTTAAAGGTCACTAGCCTGCGTTGTTTAGACTCTCTTTTCCATTAATGAATCGTCTTTTGTTATTTCAGATTTCATTGTTTCACACACAATGGATGGGCAGAGCAGAAAGCACAGGATTTTGATGGTGTCTGACTTTTTCTTTCCAAACTTTGGCGGTGTGGAGAGCCACATCTATTATCTATCGCAGTGCCTCCTTAAGCTTGGCCATAAGGTCTTTACCTAATGAACTGTATTTATTATCCTGCTCTGCTCATTTATGGTTCGACAATGTAAGATACGGTACTGGGTATGCATTTGATTCGTCCACTCTCAGCACTCTGCGGTGTACCCATGAATGCATCATTTTTACTGGATTTGTGAAGCATGCACATATACTGAGCTTCTGTTTGTGGATGTACTGCTTTGGAGACCTTACCTTCTAATGAACACAATAAGCATAAGTTTGTACAGAGCAACTTATGCTACTATTTCTGAGTAAAGTTTTGAGCGAATTTCATTTGTTATTCTATAGGTTGTTGTCATGACACATGCATATGGAAAACGTTCTGGAGTACGATATGTTACTGGCGGTTTGAAGGTTTATTATGTGCCATGGAGGCCATTCCTGATGCAGAATACACTACCTACATTATTCATGACATTTCCAATTATAAGGACCATTCTTATTCGTGAGAAGATATCTGTTGTGCATGGACATCAGGCCTTTTCAACAATGTGCCATGAAGCATTGATGCATGCTAGGACGATGGGGTACAAAGTTGTCTTCACAGACCACTCGCTTTATGGTTTTGCCGATGTTGGAAGCATTCACATGAATAAGGTGCTGCAGTTTACTCTTGCAGATATTGATCAGGCCATATGTGTATCTCACACAAGCAAAGAGAACACTGTCTTGAGGTCAGGGATATCTCCAGAGAAGGTTTTCATGGTTCCTAATGCAGTGGATACTGCAATGTTTACTCCCTCCCCGGACCGCCTAAGCTGTGATGAAATCATTATTGTTGTGATAAGTAGATTAGTATATCGAAAAGGTGCTGACCTTCTTGTTGAAGTCATTCCAGAAGTATGCCGTCTATTTCCAAAGGTGGGTTATAGCTAGTAACTGCAGCACTCTTTGCATGAGCCACGCATGAAATAAGAAAAGGTGAACTACATGTATTTACTAAATCTGAACAAGTTCGTAACTCGGCATATAGACTTACCGTTTTGATCACTGTCATCCTTTCTTGTCTGATACATATAATAAATTGCTTGACAGTTCAGATTCATAGAATGTTTTAGTCATACGTTATCATCTTGCACCTTTACTTTCTTACTATATTTTGTTTTGGTGTTATAATGGATTATGTTCCCTTACTTAATAAATTTATGGATTTGTCAGGTTCGCTTTATTGTTGGAGGCGATGGTCCAAAACGTGTGCGACTTGAAGAGATGAGGGAGAAGTTCTCCCTTCAGGATAGAGTTGAGATGTTAGGGGCTGTCCCTCATGCTCAAGTACGATCTGTTCTGATATCTGGTCATATATTTCTCAACAGGTACCTTTCTGAGTTTTCATTCTTTTGTGTTCAAAATATCTAGATTGTTGGTTATATATGTGCCTTTTCCTGTTCTTACTGGATTTCTACTTTACCATCGATTATCATATACTCTTCTGTGTTGAAATAGTCCTGTCAGGTTCCAGTTTTCAGTTTTTGTTGCGACAAAGGAAGTTGCTTTTACTGAACTTGTCCATTGAATTCTAAAAGCTCATGGCGTCTGTGGAAATGATCACTACCATTGGCAGAGTAGCTAAAATTACTGTATTGGAATGTTTGAATGCTTACCGCTCTCCTCGAACAGATATTTTGAGCCGCTTTGGATTCGTTGGATCTTTTCTGCACTTGGTCATATTTGTACCAGATTATTGAATTGTTCCTGTTAACCTCTGGTTCTTCAAACATGTATGTAGAATATCATTTGATAAAACATACTGATGTCGTGGGAATATTTCTTTTGGAATTATAAGTATATATTTCATGGATCTAATGCAAACAGAAAGAAAAGAGTTTTTTTTTCACTTACATAATCCTAATATTATTTGGAAACTAGAAGGTGGATAAGTTAACATTGTTTATGATAGTTGTGCAGAACGCGATTAACCATAGTAATACTGAGATGTGAGGCTTAACCTTTGGTATTGTAGTTCGCTTACAGAAGCATTCTGCATAGCCATTCTGGAAGCAGCAAGCTGTGGGCTGTTGACAGTAAGCACTAGAGTCGGAGGGGTTCCAGAGGTATGCTCTTTATGATTTCAAAGTTTTCTTTTGTAAAGAACCATAAATTTCAGCTAGTTGGACAATTTGCAGTTCCCTACAAATGACTCTTTTTCAGGTTCTACCAGATGGCATGATAGTGCTTGCAGAACCAGATCCAGAAGATATGGTACGAGCTATCAGGCAAGCTATCGACATACTTCCTGGTATAGATCCCCAAATTATGCATCGTCGGGTGAGTTTCAACTCTATGCACCTGGCTGACCTTACTGAGCATTGTACCCCTCTCAGAAAAGGACATTCTGCACCAGCTTTTCTTTTAGTAGAAAATGGATATGCAAGTTCCTTTGTGCTTATTCAAATCTAATGTGCATTGTAGATGAAAAAACTCTATAGTTGGGATGATGTGGCCAAAAGAACAGAGATTGTCTACGATCGTGCAGTGCACTCATCAAATACCAATTTACTAGATCGCCTTCCCCGGTGAGTACAAGGCTAAATTCATCTTCTGCCATTTCAGAGTATTTGTACCTGAAGATACCATATTTTTCCTTTGGATCTCAGCTGTCCTTGCATGTATTGCCTGCCAAAAGTGCTAATTCTATATTTTCTATGTTCCATATAATGATTAGTTTAGTTGTACTGGTCAAAGTGTGGGCAATACCACCACATTTTTGCAATGGCATCAAACACAAAAGGAAGTCGCTGACGTTCTGTTTCCGTAATGGTGTAGATACCTCACATGTGGAGCTTGGGCAGGGAAACTGTTTTGCCTCGTCATGATCATAAATTACCTTGTGTGGTGCCTTCTAGAATTCCTCCAGGTATTTTTTTCTTGCCCATGTTTTTCTCACTTTCTGGAGATTGACGAAATTGTAATAGCTTTCTCGCCCTCTCAGCCTGCTGAAGGTATTGAAGAGGTCCCAGACATAGGGCCACTGCACATTCATTTGGATTCAGCGGATGACCAGTGTGAACCGCAAGGAACTTGAACTTATTTTCCAACCATTGTGACATTGATCATGTAGGAGGTCATCAGTCATGGTATGTATGTTGGACTGGCTCCCACTCCGGAATTTATTTCGGTGTTTCCGTGAGCTGCAACGACTGTTCTGAGAACATGTCTAACATGAATGAGATTGCTGATACCGAGGTGGTCTGAACAATGAAATCATTTTGTCACACCGAATACGGGAATTTACAGTCGTGCTACATAAAGCCAATGGTGTGAGTGGTAATGTCCTTGCCAACTTCCTGTGTGATGTAATTGTATGGTCCACTAATATTTCGTTTGAACTGTCTCTTGCGCCAATCCTTGGACGCCAGCTGCTTCTTGGTGCTAGTTTCGACTACAAGAGATTACGGTCTTTGATATTGATTTGGTGTCTCGACTGGGAACACAATATTGGATGATAAATTTTGGAGATAGTTGGCATAAAATTTTTGAAGCTTGTTTTGTCCTGAATTTGCTATTTTGAAAACATATGGAGATAGCTACTCAGTTGGTTCACTCAAATTCAATATGTCTACGCCTATTTACTACTTCCTCCGTCCCATAATGTAAGATGTTTTTTAACACTAGTATAGTGTCAAAAAATGTCTTACATTATGGGACGGAGGGTGTACTACATTCTCTATAAGACGTTTTTGCAGTTAGGTAAATACTCCCTCCGTCCCGAAACTTCCTATATTATGGGACGGAGGGAGTACATTCAAACATTAATAAGACCGGGAGAGAGAGCTGAGAGTTTGAGGATAAAAGGGTTTGTGGTCGGTGTACTCGTACATCCATCCGCAGTGATGGTCGAAGACAAGGCGGCGCTGGCGGCGGTGGAGGTCAGGACGAGGCAGCTTTTGTTGCCGCCATGCCCTTGGGCCGCGCTTGAAATCTGTGTATTTAAATAAACAGGTTCTTTTAAGGAGAAATACACAGGTATTTTATCTACAGGTGTATTGTTTACAGGTGCAATTGCTAAGTGAAACGACATCCAAACCGAACATGGCCTTGGATGGTAAAAGTTACAGCGGTGGATTTTCCCTCTCCTCATCACAATTAGGCACGCTTTATTATTATACTATTATTAGTTAAATAACATAGAATATTCATCAAAGTTGTCGTGCCGGAGTGGTTATCGGGCCGACCACGCTGTTAGTTTTTTAATTACACATTATGACTAGAAATCTTGTGGGCTTTCTCTTTCCTAATGTTTTTCCCTACGCATTCTCTGCTTATGTTTATATTTTATATCACAATTTTTTTAATTACACATATTTGTATGTGTGAGATTGGCATGTTTCTCATGTGTTCTATGTTCTTTTTGGCTCTTCGTGACAGAGTGGTAGAGGTGCGACACCCAGCCAAGAGGAGGCTGCGTACAACTAAGAGCAAGGGAGAAACTTGGAGCGATAATTGGGACTATTTTTCTTCTTGTCTATTCACTGGCATTGCTAGGCATTATATGGCCAACTTACAAACTTAGAAGCTAAGCCGAACTGACAAACATTAGGAAATAACCAACTTGAGTATCAAGAAATATCTCTAGAATATTTTAAACTGCTAAGGGTAAATAGGCATACTTATCCCTTTTAAGTTTTCGGCAGGGCCCTCTCTAGCCCCTGATCACAATGCTTGCAGGAAAATGATTGTGTATCAGGCACTAATGTTGACGCTGCTCAGTTTATCATCAAGCGTGGTCCGCTTCCGCTTCTAAGAAATGAATTTCCAGGCAAGCTGCATCACATTGTCATCAACATATGGCCGCAAATCCCACATCAGACAATAGCCATCTAGCTCCGACGATGGTGTTTTAAGGCTCAGTGCCTTGACTATCTTCTCCTGCAGGACAGCAAACTTCTGTCACAAAATAGCAACCAAAAGTAAACAGAAAGTAGTGGCATGTGGATGCTTCTCTGCGAACCTGCATCGAATAATCCAATTTTAACATATTGTGAACCAGAATCATAACGCTCGAGTAAGATACTGCGCTGTCCAGCGGATCCACGGACTGCCCATCATCCTGGTAAAATATGGTGCCAACATTTTTGGGGTGAGGCTTAGTCAATGTTCCTACAGGCCATAGCATTTTAACCAACTGAAAATCTCGAGGCTGAAGTAATAAAGCATGGAACGAAGAGACTGCAAATAGAATTCACACCTCACAAGAATCTGCTGGCAGGTTATCATCACCATCAAAGCAATCTGAAGCTTCTAAGATACTAAGGCTGGCTGTTAGCGTAGTGCTATAAACATCCTCGGCCAGGCATTCAAGTTCTTCAATCAAAACTTTAGCTGGGCAAAATAAATTGGAAAACACAAAAATATTAGACAGCACGGGCCAGTTAGTAAGGCATGAGCAGATGAATGATGAATTTAAGTTCGATATCCACGAAAAGAGAACATGAAGGTTCATTGTTGTGCACACTGTAAAATGAGGACATGACAGCGGAAGAAAATGCTTCTACTGGTAAGTACTGTGTGTCTTTCAGAAAGAGGAAAAGGGAGAAGGAACGAGGAAACGCAAAAGTTCGAACAAAAATGAGTGTGCATGCCTCTGAGTAAATTCGACCGTCACAGCTGTTTTACTGCAACTACGTAACAACACCTTTTCTGAGACCATAGAATAAGTTATGCAGTAATGATGTGACACCGGCACACTCAAACGGAGAGATGTAGCTACCTTTATTTATATGGTCCTCAAGTTTTTCCTCGCAAGACTGTACTGCAAAAAATTATTCTATTATCAGACAGAAATAGTTATAAAGGTCTGACTAAATGTAAATATGTTTGTTACAAATGAGAGATACTAGTTTCAGCCAAATAGAAATGTCCAAAGATAAGAATCATGCATAATATACTAGGGTCCTATACTCCTATATTAACATCCTAGTGTTACAAAGAGTTACTAGAATTTATAATATCTTTTGGTACCATGAGTTCTGGCTGATTTCCAAAAGAACCGGTATTTCCCCTAACAATCAGAATCTATCCACTGTCATTGGCCTGTCACTGAGCTCAAACTCTATAATTAGCACTCCAATATAATCGGATCTTTTATCAATAACCTTACAATTAAACTAACAGGTCAAAACCTGAATATAGATATTGCAGTTGTGCCCTGCTGCCACAGTAACCACCATGCACAATACTTCAGCATCGTGGGTTTCACAAGAGGGCCTACCCATTTGTTCCCGCGAGCACACTACAAAAGCTGAAGCATTATATAGTATTCCGCATGGCATTTTCTGTACTGTCAGTTACATACACACAGCAGTGTAACTTCATCTAATCACTTAGATATAAAGACCACCAGGAAGAAATCCAAATGGAAAAACATATCTGTTAGATTAATAATAAAACAGCAGCGCTCTACTACAGAATTATAGATACACGATACACTCCGGCACAGGAAATGTGACTTTTAACTTACACTGGTTAATATTCCGGATACTTTGGTGCTGAAGGTGGCAGCCTGCTTCAAGATAGGACTTCAGTCGATCAGTGTAGTTAGATTTGACTAACTGACTGACAGCACCTGATTCCATGGGAATCATTGGTCTTCGAAAATGCTCTGACATAAGTGAGTCATGGAATTTGAACATAAGTGCAAAAAATAATAGGGGACTGTGCAGTATCTGTCAACACAATAATGTTCAGAAATCCAAGCAAGATTTTTATGCATTCATAAACTGGCAAATGACGCTTCATTCACCAAAGCTTAGAGCAGAAATTTACTTCATGAAAAAAATTACAGCTTCAAGAAATTACCAAATAGAACTGTTGAAATACGAAATCAATTTATCACTTTGTTCAGTATTACAGTACAAGAAATGCTAGTAAAAAATGCTGACATCTGTGAGAGCAAATGATGAAGGTTTCTACTTTAGCAGTTTGGCGCCATGTCTGGAGCACACTTTAGGACCCTGGCTGCTTACATATCTTCTAAGTTCCTAACTATCAATAGGTCTGACATGTCCGCAAATGGGGGAATCACTACACCTATTAACTGTACAAATAGGGATTCTAGGAAAGGGACTTCCATAAAAATTTGGTCAGACAATACAATACAGAGCAAAGGAACCAACACTGGGATATTCAAGGAGAAGAATGAACCAACCTAATTCCTGACGGAACTTTACAAGAAACATTTTTCCGGCATCAACTAGCTCCTCATATTGCGTAACCCTGTCGACGATAACAACACACAAATATATGATTAGTACAAAAAATTCACAACCACAGGAAAAATATAAAAATAAAATTACAACAGAAGTGTATATGCAGAGCAAGGGAACACATGCTAGTTATATCCTACAAAATCAGCTAGGCATATATCACCAAAAAATGTTCTCCAAAACACACAAAAGAAGGGAGTAATATGTTCCTTCCAAATTCAAGTCAAGTGACAAACTGAAACTAATTGCATAAAGTCATAAAATAAAGTTCACACACAATTCAAAGGGAAATACTAGACACGACTTCTTGAGATGGCTGATGCTTGTTAGCACATTGTTGTTCCAAAAATAAGTGGATTGTTCTACTAGCAATTGTAAATGAAGTTACAACACAGTTATAGATTGATAAGTTTTCAGTTATGAAATAGCATCATTTTCGAAGATTAGCTAATAATTATTTTGATACACATGTTCTGCAACATTTGGTGAAAATCTATATACATGTACTGTGACATTTTAACCGAGTTACCCGATGTCAGTGCTAAATGTTGAAAACTTTCTGTCAATATCTGGTTCGCTACTCCTACCAACTGTGTCGTCAAACCATGTTAATTCACAATGGGCTTTTTTTTCCAACTACAACTCCGCCGATTCACTATGTCCACTGCAAATGGTGAATCAACCAAGTGTATGGTATTGAAAAGATTGAGGTCACTAATTACTTGGTCATGAAATCAAAGAAGCAGCGCCGAGCTTCCTCTTTGGACATTGGCGCCAACAGCGGGGACACCTGGTGTACTGCTGCTTCATCCACCATAAA